TCTAATTGAGTTGTGTAAATATAGTTATTAATTAAACATATCAGTGTACCTTAATGTAAGATATTTTATAACAACTACCCGTAATCTCGAACGAGCGAACACGAGGCCACCCAAGGTCATCTAATCATTGCTGGAATTTATGTAAGTAAATGAAAATTTGATACGTTGGCCGAGTTTGAGTTCTTCCACGAGACTTTACGCAGATAATAAGAAAGATTTTTGGTAAGCTATCCGTTACCGCAGGTTACAATTAAAGAAATTCAGCGGATAAATTTCCTACACGGTGTTGCCCCATTATTATAAGAAAACATTGGGTCTCCAGCAAATCCGCAAGGCTGACAGGCTTAATAAGGAAATTAAATTATTAGTGTAAAATTAAAATTTCATTTCAATGGCGCTCGAACAGGGACGCCGTGTTCGAGGAACCTGTCCCGGTGACGGAAAGTTATGCTTTAAAAGTTTTTCTTAAAATAAAATTTCAAAAAAATTCATTTTGAAAATTTTATTGAAAATTTGATTTTTCAATATTGAAAACTCCATAAAACCCTTACGGTTGGAAAAACTTATTCGAAATATATATTGTAAAATTTAATTCTAAAATTGTTAAATTTTAATTGAAAATTATCGATATTCAAAAGCTTTGTCTTACATTAATTTAGTTAAAGTATCGAAAATTTTACGAGTAATAGTTTTATAAATTACCAGATTATCCCTTTTGTGCAAGAGCTCAGACTTTATTCATTAAATAGGTTTAGCATTGTACAAAATACAAACATCTGAAAATTCATTACATTACAACCTTGAAATTAATAAAGTATCTTATCTTCCCAGAGACAAGGGATTAAGAAATACGTAGGTGATGTCATGCTTCCTGCTGAGTCTGTCATTGTAGTATTTATTAAAATTAATACTAAAGTATATTCTCAGTAAAATAAATAAGGCAATAGCCAAATAATTTTTGGTAAAACATTAAAATAAAAGTAAATTTAATCCTAGTCAAGCCTCAGCAAAATGAAGAGAAAAAAAAAAAATTTTTTTTCTCAAGCACAATGTTTGCTCGTACTCTTGTAAATAGATTCTTCGTACTTGTAACAAATAAGCCGAGACAATCCACTTTCCAAACAAGTGATGTCCCGCTACCGCCTTATCAGACAGACGATTTACCCGGTTTGGTAAACACAATTCACAACAGTACTGCTCACCCGACAGCAATGGACGGCCTAGACACTTCGGTCACAACCCTGTTAGCATGCAGTACGACTTCAATCAAAAACTCTCCTAGCGTCCAGCACGCTTACATTGTATATAGTATACTCTTAACAACACCAGGTATTCACCACCGATCATACTAGGTATTCACTACCGACAACACTAGGTATTCACTACCGATCACACTAGGTATTCACTACCGACAACACTAGGTATCCACTACCGACAACACTAGGTATCCACTGCCGACAACACTAGGTATCCACTACCGATCACACTAGGTATCCACTACCGACAACACTAGGTATTCACTACCGACAACACTAGGTATCCACTACCGACCACACCAGGTATCCACTACCGAAAACACTAGGTATCCACTACCGACAACCATTGGCATTCCCTGTCCACTTTATACTTTAACAATACTAATATCACTACTATTATTAATATCCGGTCTCTACGGCCTAGCTACTAGGTATCCACTACCGACAATACCCTGGCACTAGTTGCCTAAATATTCTGGCCATGCAATTTTTACTGAGATTGTAAGTCCATTAGTGATCCAGCTGACAGACCTAGCAGGTAACAGCCTGGACACACACTACCTTAATGATCTGAAGATCCCAAGACGTTCAAAACGTCAAAACTAATTATTATCAATATATTTCAGATCGCATTGTACAATGTCAAACATTCGTCTCATCAACTCTGACGAAGAGTCTATCTCAACGAGTCAGGATAGCCTGCTTGACCCGTCGACGGAGACTCTTAGTCATACACCCATTTCATCTCATCAAACACTATCATTCTCATTACCACCCTCATCGGAGATCGTCGAACCTCCAGAGATCATCAAGCCACCAGAGAATACCGTTACCGCCACCCAGATGTCATTTGAGAAAATCTCGTCAACTCCACTGACACCAACAGCCTCAACAATGCAAAACATGATGAAAAACGAGTTTGCAAAACTCCATGCACGGATCGACCAAGCCATCTCAACCCAGATCGTTCCCAACAAACACTTGTCGTTGCCGGAACGTCCAGAGTGGGTAACACACTTCGCTGACCGCCTTGAAGATGTGTACCGTCTACTAAAGACCAACTCGAAGAACATTGCCAAGCTGGAAGCCAGGCTAGATCAAAGAACACCAGACGTAGTTGCTCAACCGCGAGAGGATGACCAACAAGCTCCAACTCTGCTCCAGGAACTCAAGGAGAGTATCACTAAAGCCAACCGAGATGCTACAGAGAGACTGGAATCCCTTGAACGACAGGTACAACTACTTCACTCCCGTGAGGCTATACTTACAGTGCCAGCATCTGGAATTCCAATTCCAACAGTCCAGGTCGAGCGCCCAAAGTACGA